AAAATGCACCCAGAGCTTGAGAGATGTGACAGGATACAGTTGAACAACTGATCTAAGCCATTTTTGGGGCTTTCAATTTGCTTGGGAACATTTTTTCCAACTTCATTTGCTGCCGCTGACATCATTACTTGAAATGCGTTAAGTGGTGTGTTACACTCATCTTCATTTTGTAAAACTTTGCAGGTCAAGCAAGCTTCATCATGCTTGGTATAAAGACTAAAGTAACGCATTCCAAATACCTTTACTTTGCTAACAATGTCCTGCGCTGGATCTCCTTTGATTTCTTCCTTGAGAGCAAATGAAGACGAGGCAGTTGCAAAGGACAGTATGATGCTTTTACAATTGCCATGTGTTTCAATTTTGCATGACTCATAGACACCACTTAAAATATCAGTAAGAAGCGATGAGTAACTGTAAGAGACATAGTTAGTGTCAACAAAACTCCATGGCATTAATATTTTTTTGCTTCTTTCGTCTGCAACCCTGACGGAAAACAGGCAGCTCATGGTGCATTCTCATGTTCCAAACAATCTAAAAAATACTAAAACTTAAAGTTCATCATTTTTTAACTGCCAGATCTGAATTCAGATCTGGCGGTTTACAGGCTATATATTTATTAAATACAGACATTTTATACAAATACAATATAGACATCATGAACACAACATCAAATTGTTTATATTTTCATATATATTTTATTGTGGGTGAGACAAAGATTTACAATTCAAACATTTGAGCAGATCTAGCTGCACAATTCACAAATGCTATATTAAAAAAATTTAGACAATTTTATTCAAAAATTCCTTCAAGCTTTATTATTTATATTATTCATCACGAATAAGAGATCAAATCGTTTATATTTTTATATATTTCAAATGGGTGAGACACAGAAAATTTGCAATTTAAATTACTTACCCAATTTGCATCTTTAATATATTGATCGCCATGTTGCTTTGCTTGATAGTTGATACTTGATATTATAAACATTGTGCCCAGGCTCTTTGCTCGGTTCAATGTGAAACAACTTCATTTCAGATACAATCAGACACCGTTTTTACTGCATTTTTTATAGAAAACGAAGGTTTACTCTGAGCAAAACAAATGGGTATTGCAAAAAGTGTTAAATAATGAAAAAATCTAAAATAATGAAAAATTTCACGCGGTACGAAAAATACACATGGGCGGGTTACGGTAAGCTGATACCTTACTTCCATCGGCCTGATATACAAATATATTAATAAACATGGATAAGTCTCATTCAAATATAAAACTTTTATAGTAGCATTTGTTGAAGTATAAATGCTATAAATATATTTATATCAGCATTCTAATTCCGTTTATATTGTCGCGGCAAATTCAAATTTTATCGAACCACATGCTCGAATTTCACAAAAGAAGATTGGAGGTATTTCCTTTATAATTTGCTTTATTATAAATAAAATATAAACTTATTCTTACCTGAACATTACGCAAACATCCCTGATGTATTACTAGTGAAAATCCAGTTGAATCCCATCAAAAATAGTTCTATTTTGCACATAAACCATTGACAAACACCGACTTGAAAAAATAGCGGAGGTGTGATCTATCCCTTGATGCTTTGCGCGCGTGGCAAGAAAACTAGACACCAGTCTGTCAGTCGCGCACATTGCGGTAATTAATTATTCATTTAATCTTACAAAATAAATAGTCCCAGTATTAAATTCTCTATTAATAAATGTCTATGAGTAAAATACGATATAGGAATAGTGTAGTTGTATAAGAAATTAAAATTCCTATAAGAATTCTTATATGATATGATAATGGTGAAAAAAGTCCTGTAAGAAATAGAAATTCCTGTAGGAAGGAGTTATTTCGTAAATTATATTTATCTGTATAATTTTTTATATAAGTAAAGTTCTTATACCCATGCATGTATCAGGCCATAGTGGTATAGGCTATGAATTTTTCCCACCATTTTCCAATCCTAAAAGAATTCCTATAGGAATTTTTATTTCCTATAGGATTTTTTTTCACCATTTTTAAATCCTATACGAATTTTCATTTCCTATAGGAATTCTTATAGCCATTTTCCAATCCTATAGGAATTCCTATAGGAATATTTTTTCATATAGGAATTTTTTCACTATTTTCAATTCCTATAGGAATTCCTATAGGAATTTTCAATGCCAATAGGAATTCCTATAGGAATTTTCAATGCCAATAGGAAATTTGAATTCCTATAGGAATTCCTATAGGAAATTTTAATTCCTATAGGAATTCCTCAACCTCGTTCCCAGGGTCTTCTTCGTGCATGGCGCGTGAAAAATGAGAAGACCCTGGTAAAGGCTCTTCTAAACTCCGTTGTGATTGGTTTATACATTTGACCTTGACATGTGCTTTGAGGATGTTGTTACAATGAATATGATTGGTTTACCGCTAAATACTTCCTGTAATGAGCGCTACGATTGGTTGCATGATTTATAAGGATTTTCACAACAAATATAATTTGCTTTACAGTAAAATGCATGCTTCGCCAAAGCGCGAAGCTCGTTTCTGGCAAATATTTTCAAACTTTCAGCCTAATATCAGGCACAATATCTAATGGACATTGTAGTGTGAATAAATATAGACATCATTTTGGTACTTCAAAGTTGAGACAGCTAATGTTCACATCGTTATCGAAGGTATGAATATATACACACACACTGTATGATCAAACAAACCACAGAACCATTTGCGTTTGTGACGTTCTAGTTTCTCTCAAATACTACCACTTGTTTAATGCAAAAACCTCTTGTTTGCTTCAAGTGACAGTTTAATATCAGTCTCAGCTGAATATGCATTTTTATAGCAGAAATAGATGCACAGAACGATTGCTGTTTGTATAGCTTAATATTTGTTACATGTTTAATTTTAAATTATAATAATAAAGTAAGCAGTTCTTGCTGGGCTCATAGGACACCAGGAAATAATAAAAGCGAATCTATAAAGATCCCATGCAATATTAAAATTTTGGTTATGTCAATAATTTGTGCCACTGCAGCTAGCTGCTGGAGCACAGCTACTTGAATTTTCCACAAGAATATATGCCACTGACCTCCACAAATGGAACATTTAGAATATATTCAACATAACTATAAAATTATTTTCAGTTAAATCTATAGCATTAGTGTTACACTGTAAATCATCCATAATTATCACAGGTGTACAGAGAGTACACTTTTCAACCCCCTCCCACAGCGACTTAACCGATGATGGTGGGTCTATATAGTTCAACATTTAAAAAGCGTATAGTGGTTATGAACCTGCCTACCTGAAGCGTATAGTTTCTACACTTCAGGAAATGTTGGTAGTTATGGACAACCCATAATTGAATTTCATTAGCCTTTACATCATTGTGAATTACCATTTGCATGCATGTAACACTAACAGCATGATCTTTATTCCATACCATATAGGAAAAATTGAACACATCTGTCCTGCAGAGCTAGTACAAATTTACATTAGCAACTATTGAATCAGTGAGGGAGGTATAATAAAGCAAGTGTGTAAATAAATGCAGCCAAATCAAAATTGTTTGTCTCCACACTACACTTCCTCATCAATGGACAGCTCAATGAGAACAAATGTTGTGGACAACTGTGGTTTGGACATTGCAGGCTGGCTGCACATTTTGCAATGATGTACATGCAGGAGATCGGTTGTTGAAGCATGAATGAAATCAATTTCCAAAAAGCTCCAAGGCTTACTTTTTGAAATGACTGAGAATAGGTCATTCCAGAAAACATCCATACCACCCCCACAGAGGAAATAGGAAGTTAACCCCCTTCGGATGTCCTAATACATTTACTATTATCAGAAACAATTGTTTCTCCCCTCCCCCTCCGGACGGCAGAAATTTCCTCCGTGGGGGGAGTATGGATTTTTTCTGGAACGATCCAATTCATTTTCCATATGAGTGAGAGTTCCTATCAGCCGCATGTGAGGATGCATATTACCACCTCTTTTCTCTACCCTTGCACAGTACAGTGAAGGGAAACCAAGTAACTTTGTTATTTAACTTAAAACAGCACTGTATATAACTTTAAATACTGTAAAAAATGAAATATCAGCTAAATACTAATTCAGTAAGAATTGTCTTGGTATGGAAATATCTCTTTCTGTTGTATATGCATTGTTGAATTGCCATGTCACTTTCTTGAGTATTACCAGAATATTAAGTATAGTTGAGCCAGCTTCCTAATATTATGGAATCTAGGATAGTTGTTGACTTTGTGGTTTTCTTAATAGTTCTCATTAATATTATCAACATTCCTATATGTGAAGACTAACAGCATTCCCATCCCCATTAAGTTGTACATATACAGTTGCAGTCTTCTTGACAGTCCTGGTTTTATCCGTATTGATGTTTGAGAAGCATGAGTATCTAAAATATAATACAATTGATTTGCATTTCATTTCACAAACTGGAAACCTAAATCTATATGTTACACTAAATCTATCCAATTAATTTATTAACAGTAGATTTATTTCTAATTGAGGGAGAAAAATACTTATGACATAAGTTACATTTGAACAAAACTATCTCTAAACTGGTTGGCAATCTTTTAGTTTTACTGATTCACCATGCATTCAGTGCACAATATAAACGTGCAATACAAATTAAATTTCTGCTGTCTGAAAGGGGATGGGGAAATGCACTTTTAGAATAGTAAAATGTACTAGGATGTGTAAAAGGAATTATGGGAGTTCTAATCTCCTATGTGAGAGCTGTGGATATAAGGCAAATTATTCCACATGTAAGCACTTTGCATGCTCCAAGGGAATAAACTATAAATTACAATATTATTATATACTAGAGTATTTATTAACATGCGATAATTTTTAGTCAAAATAACTTGAACAAGTGCAACGTTCACAGTGTTAAATGGATAATTAGTAATGAGTCTATGCCTCTACGGATGGCCCACTAGTAAATTTTCATTTATATCAAATTATACTAAGCGCTTTAAAAAAATACTTTGTAGGCATATTAGCACCAGTCATAGGGCCATTATTGTTGAATTATAATATAAATAACAATAATATATTGTAGTTTTTCAATTACCTTCACAGTGACAGTGCTGTCAGTCTGCCAGTGCAAGCAGCCGTGAGACATGACAAACAACGCGGATTGTTCGGCCAGGAAGATAAAAATTAGACGTGCTAGCTTCTTGTTATTTTCTCTCTCTAGACATCTTTATTTTTGAAGAGAAATTACTTATCTAAAGGTATATTTTAGCAAAAAAATACATTTCCAAACTGAAATATTTCATCTCAAGAAGGCCATGAAAAATTTGTACGCCAGCAATGAATTTGTCAGCGCCAAGGCAAATTCGCTTTTGCGCATGCACTAAAATGTCCATGAATCGTGGAGATTTTCGCAGCCTTTACCAGGGTCTTCTCATTTTTCACGTGCCATGCACGAAGAAGACCCTGGGAACGAGGTTGGGAATTCCTATAGGGATTTCCAATGCCTATAGGAAATCCTATAGGAAATTTGAATTCCTATAGGAAATTTCAATTCCTATAGAAATTCCTATTGGAATTTTTTTGACCATTTTCAATTCCTATAGGAATTTTCAATTCATATAGGAATTCCTATAGGAATTTTCAATTCCTATAGGAATTCCTATAGGAATTTTGATTTCCTATAGGAATTCCTATAGGAAATTTTCGTAAGGGATACAAGCAGGTTTTGACTTAAGGTAAGTCTCGTTTAATTTTTTTCTATTCCTCCAATCTCTGGGTTTAAGATGCAATTCCTGATGTTTCCATCGGATGCAATTCCAGATGTTTCCATGGACATTTGTTCTTCACTGCCACATTTGGACAATCTGTGGAACAATGGCCTTGACGAATGTTATTGAGGCTTGCTCCTAGGAATGGTTTCTTGTTTGAGATTAGGAATGGTGTTTGTGTCTTTCAACTCTGAAATATGCATTATGAAGACTGTGCCCATGGAACACTCCCCAATCTCTAGCATTTTGTGCTTCCTTGTGGTGTTGTTTTTGTTCTTTTATGTGAATAATCTTTGGTTGAACAATATTCTTAACCAGGGAACTGACATCAATGTTTTTACCAGTGTTTTTCTCAATGGTTCCTTGACTAGTATAAATTTGCTTGCACTTCGATGCTGTAATAAATCCTGCTTTCTGAACATACCATTCCTTGCATTGCCATTCTTTCAGGGTGATATTGTTAACTGTGGTTATCTCCTCTTCTGTGAACTTCAGCTTTGCAAACAATATGTCAGGTGTTTTAACAATGTTTGGATTATCTTTAATGTGTTTTGTCAACTTCTCCTGGAGAATAATAGTAGCTTCTATAGTATCATTAATAGCAAGCATACACTCGAATTTTGGTGTAGATTTTTTATGCATATAATTTGTTTAAAATGGGCAGGATGGCAGGTGGTTTACCTGTTTTGCTTGTGCGGTGGAAATATATATCGCGCGTTTCTCTCACATCAATATCACTAGTAGAGAGCTACTCAAATGGCAATCCAAGACAGTCAAAAGCAATTGTTGTGCGGGCAGACACATCCAGTTTACGAAGCTAGCTTTACCAGAGCTAGCTGTCAATAATTCAACTTGTCAATGCAGTTGTTTGGGTGTCGAGAATTATGTAATATTAGTCTAATTATGGACGTGTGAGAATCGCACGAGACGCGTGGGGTTTTTCCTGGAAGAAAGCATGCTTTTCCTGGGATTGCGAATATTAACAAGAAACATGAAATCTACTTTATGTTGAAGTTTAAGTGAGAATTAAAGAAGTTTTAAACCTTTTATCGAGTGATTCTAACTATTTACAGCACGTGGCACCTCCACACGGGATATGTGAGCGAAAACCCCCAGAAAATAACAGATAAAATGGAAGAAAAAAATAGCGATAATTTTATAAACACCGAGCGACAACTATTAAAACTTACACGAAGCAAAATGAAAGCGATTCCAGAGAAGGGAAATCTTGAGAAAATCATTCGACATAAAGAAGCGTTGGGGAAAATTGTGAAAGAATTAGAAGATCTTAAAATACAAGGCGAAAAGGACAAACTACAAGACGGGGAAGCGATCGAAGATGTTCAAACATGGGGAGTCGATATCGAAGGCGAGATTGATGAGACGGATTGCAAAATGTCACACTTAAATCAATATTTAACAGAAGCCGAGGCGAGGATTGAGAACGAGAAATGTGAAAAGGAGAAAATATTGCTAAAACAACAACGGGACGAAGAACTGTATTTCAAAAAATGTAAACTGGACCAAATGGCTAGCTTGGGTTCGGTTAGTGTCAAGTCAACAAAGCCAGAACAAGCAAGGGTGAGCAGTGTTAAAATGCCTAAGTTAGTAATAACAAAGTATGGTGGTACATATGAAAGATGGCTGTCTTTCTGGAATAAATTTGAAGCTGAAATAGACAATACAGACCTCCCAGCTGTAACCAAGTTCGCTTACCTAAAGGAACTATTAGAGCCCCACGTGTGTGACGAGATTGATGGGCTACTCTTTACCATGGAGGGGTACACATTTTGAAAACTAATCATGGGAATACAAGTGAAATTGTTAGGGCATATGTAAAAAACATACAAGAGTTGCCTACGATAACTGGCAGGAAGTAAACAAGATACATGAATTTATTAAGAACCTGAGCTACAATGTACAATCGTTAGAACATTGGGTAAACTATTGCAGAGTTTGTCAATGGTACGGGTTGTTATAGAGAAATTACCTGGTATTAAGGCAGAGTTGGTCACTAATCAGGTTGGATGGCAAGATTGGGAATTTGCTGATTTATTAAAAGCTCTGGAAAATTGGAAAGCAATACACCCGGTGGAAAGTTCAAGCGAACATAACCCTAGGACCCCCTACAACTGCAACCATTCGTTCTTCTCCAAAGATTCCTCAACACCAAAGGGTTGTGTTTACTGTGATGATGAACAGCACAAGTCGTATGAATGTAAGAAGGTTGCTACACCAACTGAGCGTAAACGAAAGCTACAAGCAAAGAAGTTATGTTTTAATTGTACAGGTGGCTGACACCATGCAGCACAGTGTCGAAGTCGAGTTACCTCTTTTCACTGCAAGAAAAAACATCATTCGTCAATTTGTGACACTTTAGAGAAACCTCCACCTAACCAAATTCCAGGACAAGCAGCTATGACAGCAACACACGAAGAGCACAAGGTTTGTCACCACATTGTTATTGTCAAAGCAAATGGCATTACCTGTAGAGCACTACTGGACACAGGAGCTACAACATCGTATGCGTCTGCATATCTTCTCAGCTTAACTCTTTTGCATCACAACCCAGTTGTATCGATCCTGAGCGATCGACGGCTATAAATTTCATACCTTCGGTTCAGTGCATGCTATGAAGACAGAAATACCACCAATCGATTCAGAAATAAAAGATTAGTTCCAAACAATAGTTATAGTCATTATTAACATTGTAACGATTTATGGGCCTTTGAAAGTCAAACACGATAATATTGTATCAAATTATGCAATTGTCTGAACAAAATATAGACTAGCCATACCTTTCGCTGAAAATAACTTCGGCCCCTTCGCACATATCGTCTTTGTAATAGTCTTGTTCGAATCACCATCAAAAACACTATTTAGAGTGTTATTTGCAAGCCTGTATCTTCAAATCTGTATCTTTTATCAGTATATTTCCATTTCTTGTCCGACTGTGAGCTCGAAGTGAGTTAATCCCAACCGGAAATACGTCTGAAAACCGTCAAAACAATGCGACGTTTG